TATATAGCTAGATTTTTGTTACATTAAAGATCTGGAGAAGCCAATAATATTAAAGAATTTTGCTTAGAAATTCAGATTAAGTATCGTATCTAGATGGTTTTACAATGAATATATTTTATTATTTACATTTATTTACACAGACTTAAAAAATGCCCTACTCCCAGCGACTCTGGGCACATTATAGCATTAAAAGCCAGAACAATAAAATAAGAGAACAAAAAGATGTGCATCCAGAAAAGAAACCATACCAAACAAAACCAAATCTTACGGGCGCTCACCACCATCCTACCCTAAGGTCTGGGAGAACAACCAATTTTCAGTACCTTCTGGAACATCATCAGGGAGGGAGCCATATTATACTTTTTTAGATCAACCCTTTTTAGTTACATTTAATGAGATAATTGAAAATTAAAAAGCACAAATAAGGGTATCAACTAACACACAAAATATTTAAATTTATATAATTCATAATCAGTTCTTAATTTTGGGAGCAGGGAAAGCCTTTGGTACAATGGAACAGTAGAGATATGATTGGGTTAACCATGCCAGATTAAAATGGTTTCCTACTGGTCTTTACTATTTGTGTTAAAGGGGAATGATAAGATTTTATATATTGGCTGGATAGCGTAGCGGTTAGAGTGCTGCCCTTTGATGCGGGACACTGGGGTTTGAATCCCAGCTGGTACCTACCTTACCAGTAGGGGTCCTTGGCAAAGACCCCGTAATACTTCACCTGCCTACTTTGGATATGAGAGTGCCATGAACTAAGAGAGTCATGCCGGGTCAGACATTGCCCAGATTAACAAGGTCCACAGCAGAAGTTGGGGAACCAGGACAATCTGACAATAAGTGGGCTACTGGAATTGATGGAATGCTACTACAGCAATAGACCTAATGAGACAGGACATATGAAATGTATGAGGGAACTATGGATGGACAGAAGACCTACGTCCACACTAACTGAGAAACAGCGAGTTATCCACTGCTTCAATAAAGTGGAGAGGAAGCTGCTTTCACAACTTGAGATAGACCAACTACACATTATGTCCCAGACTCAAGAACACCCAGAAGAACAACTGGATGTGCAGCCACCACCTGAAGCTGGAACATCATTGCCACCCTCTCCACTACAGAGCACAGCAGCTGATATGAGCATAAGATCATAGTCCAACTACTACAGTCAACCCTTGAGACCAATTAGCAAGGCTCAGTGGAGAGGTACCATCAGATAGTATGCTAGAAGATGCCAATACAGCCCTCACGACAATCTCACTACCACCATAACTCAAACCAACAAACTGGTATATGCTACAGTCACTGTAATACTGGAGATGTTTGGTTACATGATGAAGAAGAACAGTACGTACCCCCTCCCTCTGGAAAATGAGGTTGGGGGCTAAGATCAAGGCAACTCAGAGGTTAGTCAGCTGGTGGAACTGCAGAAGGGTGTGGCAATTAAGGATAAGACTTGGCTACTGAAAAAATACAAGGGTCTGACTCCATCTGAAGCCCTAGAGACTGCTAACCAAAGGCTTACAGCACTGGCTGCCAGACTAAGGAGATACTAAGCATAAGCCAAGAAGAAAAATGCCCTGTTCTCCAAAGAACCATTCAAGGTGTGCTCCCAGCTGCGGTGCAACAACACAGAAACAGCAGAGCCACCAACAGCAGAAACTGAACAGAACATATGAGAGAACAAGAAGACATATAACACCAGTGCAAAGTGCCTGCAGGACCTGAAAGCAGACCACAGCAATCTCCCAGAAGAGGAAACAGTTACCATCACAGTAGAAGATATCCAATAGCAGGTCAAGAACATGAAGAGCTGGACAGCGCCTGGCCTGGACATGATCCACAACTACTGGCTAAAGAAACTAACAGCAGTGCATGAATGCCAAGCAGCACAGGTGAACCAGCTGCTAGCAGCAGGCTTCCACCCAGACTAGCTAACACAAGGAAGGACAGAGTTGATCATGAAAGACTCCTACAAGGGAACAGCACCGTCCAGCTACCAGCCAATAACCTGCCTCCCCGTAACATGGAGAGTCCTATCAGGCATCATAGCCACCAAGCTACATGACCATATGAGCCAGTACATGAGCACAGAAGGGCACTGGGAACAACACAAGAGGCTCAAAACATCAGTTGCTCATAGATAGAGCAGTCGCCCGAGACTCAAGGTCTAGGCAGACCAATCTGAGCACAGCC